ATGGGTAACTTAAGAATGGTGGAGGGAGCCAAGCCCATCCAACCCGCCACCCAAAATTTTAAATCAGGAGCCTTTGGAACTTGACTCTCTTATCCTGTAGCCTAACCAGCCCCCTACCCCACAACTTGACTCTTCGCACCCATCCCTTGGCCATCCCTCCCACCACCTGTTATGCATGGCCTTCCATATTTTTCTCCATGACTCTAGAATGGGACAGCCAATGCACTGAAGGGAGGGGAAGGCTCAGAGGGTACAAGGGTAAGAGTACTTTTTAATGCATGAGAATGGACCTCTGGGTCTAGAGTGCAGCTCTTGCAAATTAATGGGAGTGAGGGGAAGAGGCTAGAAGGAATATTAATTCGCTCACTCCGCTTTAGTTCTCCTTCAGTCTCAGCTTACAGACTCCATCCTCAGCGAGGACTTCCAGGTCCACCCATTTCATCTCCCTATTATTTCCTCCTTATAACACTCATCATGAGTTGCCATATTGTCTTTATGTGTGTGTGTGTGTGCATGCGACCAAGTGTTTACTGCCTATTCCCACCCATCCCCCCAAAAAGCAGCACCACCAGGGGAGGGAGCTTGTATGTACAGCATAGTATGTCAATTGAATTAAACAATTTCCTACTCACTTATTCTTTTTTATTGACTCACTCTTTTATTCATTCCTTTATTCATTTATTCCCTTATTCATTCCAGAAACACGTTCTATTGGCCAATGACTTTTCCCCTGATCTGAATCTTCCACTTTCTAGGATGACTTTGGGGAGAGGGGGAGGCTGGGAGTGGGGACATGACTGCAGAATTCCGGGAATGCATCTACAACTTGGGAGAGCTGGGTGAGTGTAAAGCTCTCTAGGGAAGGAGGGAAGATTTCAAAAAGCATAAGGTGCTGGAGGATCAGAGAAGAGGACCAAGTTGGGAGTGATAGGGTGGAGGCTGGGCAGATGGAGACTTCTCTCTGCCCCCACCACCCCCAGGCCCGCATCTTCCTGCTGCCCAGCGTTTGCTCCACCAGGCAGAGGCTCTCCCCATCTCCACATGTTGAAATCCTACCCTTCCTTGCAGGGCCAGACCAGATGTCCTCGAAGTCTTCCTTTACTCCTCCAGCTGGAAGGGCCGCTCCCTGCTGCAAACAAACTTCCAAAGTCTGGACCTCCCTCGTGGTGCTGACCACTTCCTGCTTGTGCTATGGTGCGGCCCCTCCCTCTGCCCAATAGGCAGAGGCTCTGCCTGTCTGTTCCCAGGGATCTCAAGGGGCCCGGGGCCCAGGGCCCAGCACCAAGCGGATGCTCAAGCCTAATGTGTGAGCAGCATTGTGCGTTCAGAGGGAAGTGATAATTGACCCCATTGTACGGATGGGGAAATGGAGGCACAGATGCAGGGCATGATTTGCTTCCAAAGCAAAGCTGAAGCACAGCCTAGACTCAGCCTTGCATATCTGGTCCCAGGGGCAGGGCTCTTTCCAGGGCAGCTTAGTGGGAGGTGGGGGTAGGGTGCGGTGGGGTGGGAGCTGGGTCCTGAGAACCAGCAGGCCAGAGAGATTTGGAGTTCGAATGGCCAAGTTCAGGGAAAGCACAACTGGGGAGGAGCCAAGGTATTTATTATGCTTGGTCTCTAGCTCCAAACAGAGCTGATGGATGGAGCTGCTCCAGTTCCTATAAACAGCTTGGGCCTCCCTCCCCTCCATGTTCTCAGCACCACAGCCCCAGCTGATCCCAGGGAGTTGAGGGTGGAGGGGAGATGACTGAGGGAGGGGAAGGAGAAGAGGAGAGTGGGGGGCAAGTGGGGGATGGAGAAGAGAAGCCAGGGTCCTAGAGGCAAGAGGAACCAAGGGGAACATGGATGGTGACAGAAGATTCCTCTTACCCAGAGCAGTCCCACTGGGTCTCCAGGGTCTGTCTGAGAAGCCTGTCACCCATTCTTGGTTTGATCTTAATCCTCACAAGACTTTAGGTCCTAGAGGGCAGGGCCATCCATTCAGGAAGCCTTTTCTTTGAACTTGCCTCTGTGCTGGCTCACGGGCCCCGGGGATACAGAAGGGACTCTGGGTAGGACCTCTCTCCAGGAGCTCCTGGTCTAGCTGGCAGGTCAGGCCGACACCCTGATGCAGCAGCCCAGGGCAGCCAGAGCTGTCAGTGGCTGGAGGAGGGAAATCAGGATAGTCCTCTCAGAGGAGGTGATGAGGGCAGGGGTTGAAAAGGAGGGGTTTGGCAGAGGGGTCAGGGTGGGTGAGACATTTTGAGGAGAGGAGGTGGGAGAGAGCCGGCAGTTGGGAGGGTCAGGAGGCAGTGCTGCCTAATGGTTAAGATCGCTGGCTCCAGAGAGAAGCGGGGTGAGCCTGGGTTCAGTCTCAGCTCTGGCACTTGATAGCTGTGGGATCTTGAGTCTCGGTTTCTCTAAAGTGAGGATGACAATTACAGAAATGTTTTCAAAGTGTGTTAGAATTATCTTTGGCCATGTACGTCAAGCATTCAGTGCAGACCCCAACCTGGAGGTGCTAATTAAGTGTCAGCTTGGAATAAGAGGTGGGAGGCGGCCAGATGGGGCTGGAGGGTTGCAGGGACCTGACTTGCAGGACCTGTGAGCTGCTAAACAGCAAGGGCACAGAGATCAGACAGTGGATCCTGGATTCCAGGGTGGGGGATTGAGCCAGCACAGGGAACCGGCAGGGTGCAGCAGCTGGTGGGCCAGGGCTGCTGGCTCCCCGCCCTCCCACCTGGCCTGCAAGGCTAGTCCTGCTGGGCCCTGGCCCTCGTGGAGTGCCGCAATGGCTCACTGGATCAAGTGAGCCTGGTGACCTGGCACTGCAGTCTGTCGGTGACATGGGCTGTGCACTGGCCTCCTCTCTCTCTCTGGAACTTGCCGGATGCTCTGATGACCTAGTTGGCAGCTGAGTCCATGTTCAGCTGAAAACAGGAATTTCTGCCTTGCTGGGGGTCTTGGCCAGGTGAGCACACTCCTCTGTTGGCCAGGAAAAGAGGTCAGGGGCCTGGAGGCTCCCGCAGAGTTCTGGACTGAGCTCAGTCTGTGCTACTGTCCTCCCATGGGCCATCAAGGAGCATCTCCTGTGTGCCAGGGTGTCAAGTCACATAAATGCTCACCCTCCCCCCCCCCAAGCCCCAGCCATGAAATAGGCATTTCAATTTTTCCTTTGGAGAGTAGGAGCTGGGTGCAGGAACAGAGAGGTGAGAGGCCACAGCCCAGAGAAGCTGGGCTGGAGAAATCTCCAGGGTACTTGGGGGGTGGGGGAGGCAGAGCTGGAGCCTGTGGGAGAGAGGCGGAGAAGAGAAGGTTGGCACCTGCAGAGGGGGTAGTGTCTGGCTGTCAGGCAGCTGAGAAGGGGAGATGGAACCGCTTGAAGACAAGCACAGAGGGCTGCAAAGTGGGAGAGCCCGGGGGCCCACTCCCTGCCCTCTAGACTTTGCCTCAGTGCCCCTCACCAGACTCCCACCCCCACCTCAGGGGGGTGACTTTTGTTGCTTCCCCTAGACCCCACAGTCCACACTCTCATCCTCCAACTCCCTTCTAAGAACCATGAATGCTCTTCTTCTGACCCCTCTTGATTCTTCCAAGTTCAACTTTGAGCAGCCTGGCTGCTCACTCTCAATCCTCTAGCCCCTGGGGTGCCTTTAACTCTCTAGCTGGGGGAGGCTTTTGGGTGTTGGGGTAGCAGGGCTGGATGCTCAGGAAGGCCTGGGGCTGGAGACAGAGATGTGGGCATCATCAGAGTGATGGGGCAGCCACATCAGTGAGTGTGATAACGTTCCTGAGAGAAGAGTCCTGCTGATCGCCATTCTGATGGCTTGAAGAAAATGAGCACACAGCAAAGCCTGAAAAAGAGTTGCCTGAGAGGAAGGCATCTAGGGTCCTAGATGTCAGGGGAGTGTCCCAGGGGGAGGGTGTGGGTGATCGGGGGATAGAGGCAAGGGGCCCCACTGTGGAGGGGTCAGGGAGGCGTGGTCTGAAAAGTACCACCTTTGACCTCAGCCCTGGGTTGGGGAGATTGCTGGGGACAGCTGGAAGTGGCCTGGAATAGATTAGGATGGAGGGGAGGGAGAGGAAGCTACTTTACTGAGACGTTTACCCATGATGTCGGGAAAGGAAAGCAGAAAGTGGTTTAAGGGTCTTCATACTGTTTTTAAAATGAGCAAGACTTGAGCATAGCTGATATCTGCAAGGAAGACAGAAGCAGAGAGGAGAGGCTGAAAGGAGAGGAAAGTGAGAAAATAAATGAGTGAGAGAGGACAGGACATGCCCAGGGCTGCCTCTGGACGGGGTGGGGAGAGGGTACAGAGAAAGCACTTGAATGGAGCTGCAGAGAGAGAAAAGCGCTAACAAGTTCCTGCTGGAAGTCACCATTTTCTTCGCAGGTGGGGAGCGGGGTTTGCCGAGTGTGAGGAGACAGAGGTGTGGCAGGGACATGATGGTGGCTGAGGCACCAAGAGTCAAGATGATGAGACCCACGGCCTCAGTCTCCCGCCCAGCGGTCCTCAGCCTGTCTCCCCAGGGGTCTGCCATGAGGCTTCAAAGGCTGGAAGGGAAGTAGAGGAGGGCAGGGTTCAAGTGGATGCGAAGATTCCCATCAGCAAGGAGGAGGCCGGCAGGCTGCACCATTTCTCCAAAATCATTTTTTAATACATTCATGTGGGTTACACAAAGAGTGGGTCCTGAGGCCTGGGTTGTGGCCTGGCTCCCAGGAGGTGAGAGCAGCATCGTGTAGTGTTTTCAAAGATCAGGCATGAAAAGGCCCACGCCTTGCCCTCAGGCCTGAGGAAGAGTGTTTGTGTGCAGTGAGCACCTGTGGTCATGATCCTGAACAGGACTGGACCCACCAGCTGCCCCATTCACCACCAGGGCCCCCGGCTGGGGCCAGGCCACCAGGCCAGGTTCTGGCCCTGCTCTGCCATGGACTCCCTGAGTCTCTGACCCTCTCTCAGCCTCAGTTTTCTCATCTGTAAAATGGGGTGGACAGAGGGCCATTTTCATCATCTCATACTTTACCGAGCACCATCATGAGCCTGAGTGCAGGCCAAGCACAGTAAGAAGGTGAAGACAATGACACAGAGTCCTGGGCTCATCCCAGGGCTTCCTTTGTCCCCAGACAGCCCACGATTCCATGGGTCATATCTGCATGGGATTTTTCTATGCATTTTTCTAGGGGGAAAAACTTCCCTGCATGATGAGGACCAGAAAGGGAGGTTGGAGCCAGCATCATCTTGTGATGTGACAGCTGAGAGAGAGAAGGAAAACTGCCTAGGTCCAACCCCCAAGCCCCCCAACCCTGACTCCCTCAGTGAGGTCTGAATCCACCTTTTTTCACAGGCTCTGTCCTGACTTGAGCAGCTCTGAGCAAGTCCCATTCTCTTCCTAAGTCTCAGCTGTTCTATCTATGTACCAGGGAGGTTGGACTCAATGGTCTCAAGTTCCAGGCTATGCTCAACAGAGGGAGAGACAGGGAGGGAATTCAAGGGCTAGATGAGAAAAGGAGAGCCCTCCCAGTCAGCAAAGGATGGAATAAGAGAAACAGAGGCACAGAAGGAGGAGCAGGCCTGTGGCTGCCTGTCTTCTCTCTGCCCGCCTGGAAGAGAGGAAGGAGAAGAGTGGGTGGGCGTGCCCAGATGCTCCCTGGCCCTGTTCCAGCCATATGGGGCCATTTCCTGTCCATCTTACAGCCTGCAGCCCCTGCAGTGGCCAAGCTCAGGCTCTGGACGCAGGAGGATGTGAGTCTGGAGCTCAGTTCTGGCATTTCTTAGCTAGCGATCCCTGGAGGGAGACTTTCAGAGCCTCTAGTTAAATGGGATAATACACCAACCTCAGAGGGTTGTCATAAAGAGGCCAACACAGGCTTGGGTTTGTCACTGCTGCCAAGTGTGGTGTAAAACAGAACCAGATACATAAGGGTCTTACTCCTGGCTCACCAGCCAGGGTGGGGCTGGGCTGGAGCAGTAGGCCTGAGCAGGGCCTGGACAGGGAATGGGGGGAGGGCCAGGGCAGTTATCTGGACCCCTGTGTGCAACCTGAGGGTGCCAGGTAGGAAAGTGCCTATTGAGAGCAGGAAACAGACCAGTCCAGTGCTGGGCCAGAGCCCAGGGAGACTGCCTCTTAACCAGACCCTGCCAGAGCTGCCGCAGACTGCCTGACATCACTGGATCCAAGCCTTACTCAAGTGGCTCCAGCTCTCTTCCGGTCACAAGCTCTTCATGTTCCAGAGAAGCTGAAAGTCATTATCAGAAGATGTGACAAATACTCTGCTTGGAAATGTCTCAGACGAATCCTCTTGGTCTTGCCCCTTTCTTGCCCTGGCCCAGCCAGGGCAGGACTATCCACATTCAGCCAGCTGGGGCTGCAGAACTTTGGAGCCCTGGCTTTCACACTCCACATGGTGACCGCACACTCTGCAACCACCTGCCCACCCAGACTGGGAAATGCTGAGGGCAGGGATGTGTCTCATACCCTGGCACCCCCAGTGCCCAGGGTAGGGTGTGGCATAAAACAGATACTTGGCAAAGATCTGAAGATCTGATGGGGTCAGCCTTACACTTTGTCACTTCTGAAACTGCCCAGCTTCCGGCTTCCACAGCTGGACCCCATGATGTGCGGCCTGAGAAGTGGGTCACCTACTGGTGCAGCAGGACACGGGGAAAGGAGCTCTGGGCTGGGACGGAGAGACCAAGGGTCTTGGACCCTGGCTCACTGTGTGATCATGGGTCAGTCCCCACTCTTCTCCGTGCCTCTGGCTCCCCCACTGCCCCAGCAGGGTCTCCCGACAGAGCCCGTGTGTGGCCTCCAAACTCTCTAGGCTTTGTACTGTTGGCTAAACTTCTGCCGGCGCACACAGCAGCAGGTGGCCAGCGTGGTGAGCAGGATGGCAGACACCACTGCGAAGGTGAGAATGATGATGAGGTTGACATTCTTGAGCCCCCCCTTCTCACAGTCCTCGGGACGCACGTGACTCAGGGACACCTCCTCCTGAGAGCCAAAGCGGCAGATCAGGTCCTGGGTGGCGTCCACATCTACTCGGCCCTGGTGCAGCTGGGCCGCCAGCCAGCCGTTGCCGCAGCAGCTGAGGGGGTTCCCCTGTAGGTAGAGGCGCCGCAGGCTGTTCTCCAGGCCTCCCATGGCACTGCCTGGAAGGAGGCTGAAGCTGTTGTTTCTCAGGTCCAGCACCTCCAGGGACACAGCCTGTGTCCAGGCAGGCAGGCGGCTCAGGCGGTTCTCGGCCAGATTGAGCCGCTTGAGGCAGCTGAAGCAGGGCAGGTCCACCTGCAGGACGTCCAGCCCATTGCCCTGCAGGGCCAGGACCTCCAAGGAGCCCTCCAGGCCCGCCAAGGCCCCTGGGGCCACATCCAGCCCAGGGTTAGAGGAGAGGTCCAGCTCGGCCAGTGGCGTGTGGAGGAAGGCACCCGCCCGCAGTATCTCCATCTCATTGTCCGCCAGGTTCAGGACACGCAGGGAGGAGATGCCAGAGAAGGCCACGCAACCCGAGGGTCCAGGCTCAGCTGGGCCCCCGCAGGGGCTGAACCGGTTCCCCTGCACATTAAGCCTCTGCAGACTGGCCAGGCTGGTGAAGGTGTACGGGGGCAGGTCCCGCAGGGCGTTGTCCTGTAGGAGCAGCGTCCTCAGGGACCCCAGCGCCCTGGTGCCCAGCTCCAGCGTCTCCAGCGCATTGTGGCTGACGTCCAGGAGCGTCAGGCAGGGCAGGGAGCCCACCGGCCGGGCCTCAAAGGCCCGCAAGCAGTTCCGGCTGAGGTTCAGGGACCGCAGGGAGGTCAGGGGCTCAAGAAAGCCCTCCGGGACGAGCTCAATCTCATTGTAGCTCAAATCCAGATTCAAGAGCTGGGAGAGGGGTTGGGTGCTGGCATTGCGGCTGGGGTTGGAGAGGGGCAAGGCTGACCAGCCCTCGGAAGGCGCATGGAGGCCCTCACCTCCACCCCGAGGTGGCTCCGCAGGGAGCCGGATGAGGTTGTTGGACGCGTTCAGGTAAATGAGTCTCGGGAGTGAGCTCAGGTCGGGAAAGTGGAGCAGTTTGTTCTCCCGCAGGTCGAGCCAGGCAAGCTGGTACTCGGCCCGCGGCTCCGGGGCCGTCTGAAAGGCCTCGATACTGTTGCAGCTCAGGTCCAGGATGCGCAGCTGCTGGAGGCTGAAATCGGAGATGCAGGTGAGGGAGTTCCTGGAGAGGTTGAGGTGCACCAGGCGGGGCAAGGCCTCAAAGGCGCCATCCTCGATGTCCATCAGCACGTTGCTGTGCAGGTCCAGCTGCTCGAGGGCGGGTGTGCCCCAGAAGGTGTGGCGGCCCAGGCGCGTCAGGCTGTTCTCCGCCAGGGAGAGTGTGCGCAGCGCGGGCGCCTCCCCCAGCAGCTGTTCCGCCAGGCCGCTGTATAGGCTGTTCCCCGACAGGTCCAGGGACGTCAGGCGCTGCAGGGGGCCCAGTCCCCCAGTGTTCAGCGCCGTGCCCACCGCCAGGCGGTTGTGGGCCAGGTTGAGGTGTTCCAGGTGGGGCAGAGCCTGGAAGACCCCTGGCTGGAGGAAGCTGATCTCGTTGGCGCTCAGGTCCAGGTGACGAAGTGCCGTGTACAAGCCCAGGGGCAAGGCTAGGATGCTCCGCAGCTGGTTCCCAGATAAGTTGAGGACCTCGATGTCCCGCGAGAGCATCGAGGGGACCTGGAGCAGGCCACGGCCCTGGCACCAGACCTCCTTGTCCACCTAGGGAGGGTGGGAGGGCAGGGAGAGCAGTGGACATTAATGCATGCAGTAGGAGGTAGAACCAGACACTCTAGGAAGGATGACTTGAGCTCCCACCAGGCGTGGCTCGGCCTCTCTTCTGTCCTCCCAGCATGATTCAGGTCCTCCACCCCAGCCTAATCCCCCTAGGTCTGCATGATCCCTACCCTGCTCCCTGCCACTGTCTTTGGTACACAGTACAGCAGTGCTACCATCAGGCAAGACTCAAGGAAGCTTTGATAGATAGACCATACATATGATAGACAGAAGGAAAAATGTACCAACAAAAAAATTCTGTACTGATTATTATCCTAGTTTACAGGAAACTAAGCCATATATCATTTAGAGTTACCCAGAGCCAGTGAGGAGCAGGGCCAAGCTGGGACCCAGGCCTCCTTGTTCCACATCCCAAGTTCCTTCTATGGACCCAGAGAGTTAAACTTACCCAGCTGATGTCAGATTAGAAACCACTTTGGGAGAAATATTTCCAAAAGGAAAAATGCTCTTTCCACTCTAGTCCTCTGTTATAATTGTGGCCCCTCACCCTCAGATCTCATTCAAACCCTCACTCCATAGGGCACATCTCTGGTCCCAGAGCCTGCCTTCCTTGCTGACACTCCCTAGATGTGACCTCTTTCCCGCTGCCCCATCTACCCCCACCCCACCCCACCCCACCCCATCAGTGGCTTCAGTTCCCATGGTCCAGTCCAGATGGGCCCCCAGAGATGGGGTTGGGGCAGGGGAAAAGATGACCAGAGTCCCAACCCATATTCTTTGTTGACAAGACTAATTTGGCTGTGTGAGCTCCATCTGGTTCTGATCCAGAATGTAACTCATCCTTCCCCAATGCCTATTCAGCATTTTATATTTTATTTCACATTTTCAGACCCATGGTCTCATCGGATTGTCATGGTAACCTGCCCATCAAACATGATCAACCCTCTTTAAGAAACCCAAGCTCAGAGAGGGAAAGAGAGGGTCTAGGATCACCCCGCTGGTGAGGAACAGAGCTAATAGCTTTTGAACCCCAGCCTCTTAACAACCAAGGACCCCACTTTTGTCCTCTACCACATGTGCCTTCAGGGGCCAGAATTCCTTCCATGTGAATGCAGTCTCCCGCTGTCATTTCCGGCACACCAGGAACCCCAGCCTTTCCCAGCAAAGGCTCTGACTTCCATAAGCACCCAGCTCAGGCCCACTACACCCCAGCCTCTCTGTCTCCACTGACCCCTTCTGATAGGTCTTCCAGCCAAATGCCTGGCAACTGCTCAGAAACTCCACTCTGACCATGCTGCCCTTGACTTAAACCCCTTCCAGGCAGAGCCAGGACCCTCAGCAGGATTCAATGTTGTTTGTGGTCCCTGCAGATCTCCCAACCCACCCTAGCCCAGCCCACACCTGACCACACCCCACTGCGCCCTCCCACACCCACCTCTCAGCCTCCTTCCTGCTGCTCCGCCTGCTGGTTGTGCTCTGCCCAACCAGATCAGGACCATGACCTCTGTGTGCTGAGCACCAGGGTCTCCTCCACCCAGGAGACTTCCCTGAATGCCGGGCAGGTCGGGGCCTCCTCTGGGCTCTCACAGCTCCCTGTGACTATCTGAGTGCGGACTGGCTAGAAAGTGAGCTCAGGGCAAAGGGTTTGATTGAGTGGATATTTGGACCTGGCCTTTCTGAGCACCAGACAGTGCTCAGTACATTTTTCAGTAGATGAAACACATCATCAGCTTAATACAGGTCTGAGGGACTGACTCAATCACCTTTCTGAATGATAAAGAAAAGGGATGATCCATTCATTCAGGGTTTCCCAGGTGGCGCTAGTGGTAATGAACCCGCTTGACAATGCAGAAGATAGGGTTTGATCCCTGGGTTGGGAAGATCTCCTGGAGGAGGAAATGGCAACCCATTTCAGTATTCTTGCCTGAGAAATCCCATGAACAGAGGAGCCTGGCAGGCTACAGTCCATGTGGTCCCAAGAGTCGGACACGACTGAAGCATCTTAGGATGTACATCCATTTATTTAGACTAGAGTCAAAGACCATTAGAATGCAAAGGGTTCAGCCCACCCCCTTCCCAGATGGGGAGACCAAGCCTAAAGATGGCAGTAACCTGAATGAGGTCACAAGTCAGCAGCTGGGCCGACAGGGTCGGAACACAGCCTGGGTGTTCCCTGCCTGGCCCAGCCCTCAGCTTCCTCCCAAGAGCCCAAGGTAGGGGGAGGGATGGGGGGAGGAACCGGCTGTCTTCCATCAGGCATGTGTGACTCTTCCAAGTCCACATGGCACAGTGACCGGCATTCCTCAGAGGCCCAGGGACAACCCCTGCCATTGGGCGCCAGTGCAAACTAGAACCCTCATACTCCAGCCACCTTGCCAGACCTGCCTGGCTCCTTGCTCCCTCCTCCCTCACAACCTCCCTGCCAGCTGGGGCTACTGGGCATAGATTCCTCATCCATATTCTCAGCTCCCTGACCATCCTGATCAAAGAAGAAACAACAAAATGAACACAGACATAACGTGTGTTGTGTGGGGTGGGGAACACCTACCCCATATGTAAGCCCAGCCCCATTTCACCTCTGGATACTCAACGGTTCCCTGGGGCACCAGCCCCTGAGAGCTGAGCCAGGACATAAAACTAGCCCAGTCCAGCACCCAATCCTGCTTTCTGCCCAGTGCCCAGGACCCCTGTCACAGAGGCCCAGAGGGGGCTGCCACGAGGCAGGACTGCTCAGCTCTCCAGTTCAGCAGTTCAGTCCAAGAAGGAGCTTGGAGACCAGGGCAGCTCTCAGGACACCATTTGTGGGGCACCCACTGCTCCCTGATCTCTGAGCCCCCAGCAGGAGTGACTTATGTGGGGAGGAGTCTTGGGAGCATTCGACCTTAGTCAGGTTCAGAGCTTCCCCTGATGACCCCCATCCACTCTCTCTGATATGCCAGGATGCCATTGCCCAGCTTCTTTTTTTTTTTAGGAGGGGAGGGAAGAGGGTGCCACTCAACCCCATCATACTGCCTGCACACAGAAGGGAAGCAGGGCAGCGAGAATCAGCCTGCAGTGGACAGAATGAACTCGGCAGGGAGGGGTCCAAATCCTGGCTCTGTTACTTCCTGTCTGTATGACCTTGGGGCCACATCCCTTCTCTCAGCCTTAGTTTCCTCAGCTGAAAAGAGGAGTTCTGGGCAGGACAAAATGAGAGATAGTCCTTAGTGTAGAGCAGGCCCCTTGCTAGCCCTTGGCATGTGCCCATTTCTTTTTACTACTGAAAAGCATCATAATGCCTTCCGTGGGGGTTCAGAAAGTCCTTTCCTGCCTGTTATCTCCTTTGCCCCAAATCCAAAGCTCACCCAGGTCCCCTCTGCCTGTTGGGTGGCCCAGACCCTTCCTCCCTCTGAGCCTTCTGCCCCAGGTAGGATGTGGGGCTGCACATGGTGACATCTGAGTCCCTCTCTGCCTGTTATTCTGGGTTCTGGGAACCCTGGAAGGGCTCCAAGGAGCACAAGTGAGGTGGTGACAGCAGACACTGCAAACCCCAGGTAAGTGCTACTGGCCCTGGCTGCTAGCACAGGCACCTCCAAAAGCAGCTGCCCACCCTGTGTCACGAGGGCTTCCCCGGTGGCTCAGCAGTAAAGAATCCGCCTGCAGTGTAGGAGATGCAAGTTCGGTCCCTTGGTTGGGAAGATCCCCTGGAGAAAGGAAATGGCAACCCAGTCCAGTATTCTTGCCTGGAAAAATCCCAATCCGTGGGGTCACAAAAGAGTCAAACATGACTGGGTGACTAAAACACCAGCTCTGTGTCATGAGCTTCCAGTCCCAGGATCAAATGAGGCTACTGGAGGGCCTGTCCCTTCCCCAGCCCAAGCTCTGGCCTTGACCTCAGTGACTGCCCAGCCTTACAAGTAGACTAGATAAATCTCTTTTCTCTGTACCCCACAGGGTCACAGTAACCTCAGAGTTAGTTTCCCTGACTCCAGGCAGGAAAACAGGACAAAGTGAATCAAACTTTGTCGCTGCCCTTGAGGAGCTCTTGGTCTGGTAGCTGAGTCAGGTGTGGACCAGTTTACCAACCACCCCATCTGCTCAGTGTTGAGAAGGAGGAAGGCTTAGGACTGTGGGAGCCCAGAAAAGGGATGGCCTGGGAAGGGTCAGGGAAAGCTTCCTGGAGGAGGCAGCCTTTGACCTGGGCAGTAACAAATGAGAGGCATCACAGCAGGAATACGGCAGTTCGGCTCAAGTTAAGGAGCCCAGTTAGGGAGGGGATTTGTCCCCAGGAGGGGCCCAGAACAGAAGAGTCTTTCCCAGCTGCCCACCCCAGGTTCCCCACACATATACATATTCTTCAGGACTTCACAGGTGGTGCTAGTAGTAAAGAACCTGGCTGCTAAGGTAGGAGATGTAAGAGACGTGGGTTTGATCCCTGGGATGGGAAGATCCCCTGGAGGAGGGCATGGCAACCCACTCCAGTATTCTTGCCTGGAGAATCCCCATGGACAGAGAAGCCTGATGGGCTACAGTCCATGAGGTCACAAAAAGTCAGATACGACTGAAGTGACTTAGCACGCACGCACACATATTCTTCAGCAGCCAGCTGGACCCACTGCCTTGTGGGGGCGGCTTGAGGAAATAGAGTCCCTACTGGCCTGAAGTGAGTGACCTCGGACAAGTTGGCTAACTTCTCCAAGCTGGTTTCCAATTCTCTAAAACTGGAATAATTATACTTACCTGGCAGGATTAATAGTAAACAAGGCATTTAGACATTCTAGTAGGTGTTCATTAAATGTGAGGTTTAATGGCATTAAATGGATCCCCTCTCCTCTTCTGAGCCCTCTAGCCTCCAGCTTCTGGGGCAGTAGGACACCCGGGGGGCAGGGGATACGAGGAGCTCTCCCTGACGAGGCAGAGCATCTTACCTTCCTACAGGGCACCTTGTCTCGGTGTTGGGAGGTAGCCAGGCCCAGGGTCAGCACGGCCAGAAGCAGCAGAATCTGGTGGCTCATGGCTCTGCACAGGGCGGGAGGAAAGGGGAAGATGGTTAAGACCACAGGCTCCTTGCCACTGCGGGCTCCCACCAGCCCCTCCTGTCTGCACCTGCCCTCAGGGAACCCCAGACCACAGCGAGAGCTGGACTGAAGGTGCTGTGAATGGGGCACCTTGTGAAGGTGATGGGAAACAGGGCTGCAGCCCTTCACAAAGCGCCTTTGGTGCCAGGTGGCAGAGCTAAGCCATTACCTTGGACAAGGGTTTTTAAGCAGGGGGTGATAAGATCAGATTTGGGTTTCAAAAGGCCCCATCTGGTGGAAGACAGCCTGGAGGAGGTGAGCCAGAGGCAGACAGACCTTAAGGGCTGCCCTGGACCAAGTTCAGGGCTGGGCCTCTGACTCCAGTTCCACACAGGCTACAAGCAGGTCCCCGCATCTTAGCTCTTCAAGTTCCAAACGGAATTCCTCAATCCCCCCACCCGCAGAACTTTATTTTGCCCTTTCTCTTTTGATTTTCTGATCCCCAAGTCCCTGCCATTGTTTTAAGGCTGGGCCTGGAGCCTTGACAGGAAGCCCCGCCAGGAGGCCTGCCCTGCCCCCAGCACTGTGGCCCGTGGACTTCCCCAGGAACAGGCTGCCAGGCCCTTAACTTTCACTGAAGCCACCGCCTACACAGTGGGACACCCAGGCCTGCTGGGCCAGCCCTTCTCTCTATGAGCAGCCTGGTTGAGGCTGAGGGGGACCACAAAGGCCCCAGCCGGGTCACATCCCAGGGCTGCTAGGTGCTCATTCACGGAGAACCTGGACCAAGTGCTAGCAAAACACAGCTCAGTTCGTCAATTTCATTCATTCATTCATTCATTCACCCACATCTTTACTGAATGCCTCTTCATGTCTGACTCTGTACTGGGAACTGGGGACACAGATAAAGGCCCAGAAGTGACCATAATATAAATACATACAAAACATTAACAAAGAGAGATACATAATGCTCTCCAAGAGCACTGGACTCAGAGTCACCCACACCAGACTGCTTCCTCTGTCTCCTTCACTTACCTGCTGTGTGACTTTGTACAAGTCGCTTTACCTCTCTGAGCCTCAGTTTCCTCTTCTGAGGCTAACGCCAACCTCGCCAAGTTTTGTTAAGATCAAATGAGACGTATTCTATGAAAATGTCACACACAGAGCTCTCATATACTAGGCACTCTTCTTGACACTTTACAGCTATGAACTCATTTACTCTTTCCAATAATTCAATGACTTGGCTTCATGATCACCATTCCCACTGTGCAGACAGGCAAACGGTGGCTCAGAGAAATTAAGCAACATGCCCAAGGTCACACACCTCACAAATGACAGACCCAGAAAGTTAGGTTTCTGGATCTGTGCACTTAACCTTTACGCTATAAGGTCTCCTGTAGGTGCTCAATAAGTAAGTGCTGAATTGTGAATCTGAGGGATGCTTTATTTATTTATTTATTTATTTATTTATTTTTGAGGGATGCTTTAGAAGATGCATTTATAGAACCTTTATGGGCTGAGTCTTTACTATTAGAACCCATAAACATCCTTGCTATGAATTGTAAATGACGGCGGGTGCTCTGAGGTCCTTCCTTGTTCAGATAGGCAAAGAACGCAGTGGTGTCTTTTAAGCCCTGCTCCCCAGGTTCCCCCGGGGCCATGGGCCCCCTGCCCCACAGCTGTTCTCCCTCTCACCTGCGTTACAGGTTGGGCTTTCACAGGAAATTCTGTTCTGCTGTTTAAAAAGCAGAACATCACCACCCTTTTGAAAGCCAGTATACTCGGAATTGAGTGGAAACCCCTCAGCAGGGCCTTTGAGGCCCTTGAGGAGCCTGCCTGCCTCACCAGCTCTGCTCTCCAGCTTCATTTCTCACTGTCCCTTTTCCTATTCTGTGTTTTGGAAGCCTTGGATCCCCTTCAGTTCTCTAAGCATCTTTTCACTGCCCCTAACCTTCACTTCCTCCCCTCTATTGTGCTGAATACCTCCTCATTCTTTGGGTCTCAGCCTAGATGTTACCTCCTCCAAGAAGCCTTCTCTGGTTCTCCAAGTCTGGGCTATATACTGGCGCCAAGCATTCCATCAGCCCCTGGTTCCCTTCCCTTGACCCCACCACCTCCCCCCCATCACCATGGGACGTGTTCCCAGGGCAGAGGGGCCTTGCTCTTCACTCGGACCCATCTCACACTGTGCAGGTCGGGGAAGGAACTGAGAATGCACACGCGGTGCCTCGGTGACATGGCAGTTTCTCTCCTGGATTCTCCTTTACCTCCCTGCCACACTCCCTCCAATCATCAGCAGGTTCTGTCCGCTCTTCCTAAAAAAAACAGGCTCTGGATCTGCCTACCACCCCACAGACTGAGGCACCACCATGACCTCGGGCCTCAACCCCAGCAACACCTTGTTCCCACCCTGATCTCTTTCAGTCTGCCCTAAGCACAGTAGCCTGAGTGATGTCTTTAAATCATGTATCAGACCAGGAATCTCACTGCTTGAAAACCTCCCATCAAGTCCAGATGTACACAGTCTGCTCTCTGACTCCATCTACCATTTGCCCTTCCCTCACCGAGTCCTACCTTTCTCACCATTCCTCAAGCAAGTGCCCTCCTGCCTCAGGGCCTTGGCCCTGCTTGCTCCCTCCACCTCCCCAGATCTGCATGTGTTTTACTGTTTTCCCTGTATTGGTTGTTTCCTAATAGTTTATTTCTTATTCTGAGAACAGGGATCTAATAAGCAGTGCTCACTAAAGATCTATTGAATAAACAGCAAAGTGAGGGGTAGCAGTCCACTGCAAAGGGCTGAGTGTTGAGTAAGGATAAGGTAGGTAAGGATAAGGGAGGACCTGGGTTAGTTCTGAGCCTTCCCAAAGGGGCTCTTGTTTCCTGTTCCCCTGCCAAATCCCATCCTATCTCCCAGGTGGGCACCTGAGCATCCAGGGGGGCCCTTCCCTGCAGCACGTGGAACTCTGCCCTGCCATCCAAAGGAGAGGGGCCCCTTGATGGTGGGCACCCTTCAGCAGTGCCCAGACACAGTGTGTAGAATTTGAGGGCTACTCGCTCTCAAGAGGGAGGACTGGGATCACTGAGACCCAGGCTCCCATCCTGACTCTACTGCTCACCAGCCCTGCACCCTGGGGCACGTCCCTTCACCTTTCAGGGTCTCCACGTCCCATCTGTAGAGCAAGTAGCCTGGTTCCTGTTTAGCCACTGTTTGCCCCCAGCGGTTGCGATGATCAAGCAGAGAATGGCTGTGAAGGTACCCTGGACACACATTGTCTTTCCCAGCGGGGACAAACTTGCAGGGCTGAGCAGCCCAGGCGTGGCGAGGAGTGCTCAAAGGGAAGGCCCCTAGCCTGCAGACAAGTGGCCCAGGGAAGAGGAGGCCAGAAACATCTTAGGACTCTGGGAGGAGAAGTGCCAAAAAAAAAAATGTGTACGTGTGTGTGAAAGTGTGTGTGTGAGAGAGAGAGGGAGAGAGAGAAATGAGGTGGAGAGGCGCTACCAATGTTAAGCCCATCTTTAGTGTTTAAGGATGTTAGATACTCTTCTTAGCACTTGACATGTATCATTTAATTCTCACAACAACCCAATGAAGCAGTTACTATAATTTCCATTTTACAGATGAGAACACTGAGACTCAGAAAGGTGAAGTGACTTACCCCAGAGTTACCCAGCTCATGAGTGTTTGGGGATTTAGCCCAGATCTGTGTGTTGTGCGTTTTTCAGCAGGTGTTGAGCTGCCTGCCTCCTAGAGAATTTGCCCAAGAGGAAAACCAGGCTCAGGGAGATGACTTACCCAAGGTCACATAGGCAGTAAATGGCAGAGTCAGGATTCAGAATCCAGTCTGTCTGCCTCCTAAAGCAAGTGTTTCCACAACACCAGGCCAAGATCTCCTTTCTAGCCCACTCCACACATCCCCCAACCCCAACACACGCAGCAGCAGACAGGCTCACAGTGCCAGCCGGGCTTCGGGGTGCTCCTGGGTGCTCCTCTCCCTCCTCTCAGCCTGGATCACGGCAGAGTCGGGTCCTGGGAGAGCTGCTGTGGATGTTCCCAGCCAGCAGTGAATCACTAAGGGCAAGCCCCGTTCTGGAGACATGTGCAGCCCACGGGGGAATTAGACCTTAACCCAAAGGAATGTGTCTGTGATGGCGGAATTTCAAGCAGCTGAGGGTGGGGGTGGGGGGTCCCTCACGTCCTACCACCCATGAAGAGGGCTGGCTGTGGAAACCCTAGGAGAGAGGTGGGTGCCTCACCCTCTGCACCCCTAGAGATGGGCAGGCTATCTGGTGCGGTGGGATGGGAAGACCCACACACCCGCTCCACCCCTCCCCCGCCCCCCACGCCAGGGTTAGAGGGCAGTAGGAGACCAGAGACAAATCCTGAACTGCCCTTGACTAGTCTGTGTTTTCCCTAGGCAAGTGCCGGCCTTTCTGCGGTTGTTTTCCCATCTGTCAAATGGGAACGCCGGCCTCGCCCTGCCCTTCGCGGGAAAGATCCGCTGAGCTAGGAGCCTGGAGCCCAGGCAGGGTCAACCCTGGCCCCACGCACAAAGTATTGGTTGGGGTGGGGGGTGTATTGCTGAGGATCAGTGTCTCGATGAACCAGCCCCAGCCCAGCTCCGCGCAGGCTGCTCGAGAGGGGCTCGGGACCGCCAGTTCCCCGAGGGGCCGGCCAGCCTCGCCCGCTGGGCGGCTCCTACCTGGCTCAGCGCGGCCGCCGCTCCTCTCCCGGGCAGCCCCGGCACATTTTGCGCAAACCTGCCCTCCCCGTCCCACCCCGCGCCAGACCCCGGGGTCACGGCCCGAGGAGGCGCACGGCCGCTCCACCGCCCCACGGGAGCCTGACCCACGAGAGGGCGACTGGGGCTCCAATTTAAATACCTCTCCCGCCGACCCGCCCCACCACGCCCCCCCTCGGCCCGGCCGCGGGGTCCTAGCGCCCGGCCGGCGCGCCCCCGCGTGACTCGGTTTATCCGGAACCCGCGAGGGGAGGAAGCATTTTCTCGCGTCCGAAACCGCGAGGCTGGGGAGGGGCAGGTCGAAGAGGGCAGGATGAAAGGACGGGGAGGGAGAGGGGTCCATAAGGAAGCGCTGTGCCACCGAGGCCGTGCCAGGCCGCCGCACGTGCAGTTCGTGGCCCCGCGGGGTCCGGAGGGGCGGGTGGCTCTAGCAGCCGCAGGTCCGCAGAGGAAATCCGGCCTGGCCCCGATTTCCCCCGCTGTTGGCGCCGCCGCACTTAGGGGAGGCAAACAGGAGAGGTGACGGCGGGGCTGAACACGGAAGGAAATGACCCTTCACTGGCCCTGGGGTGGCTAGAAAGGGGGTTCCCCCACACCGCAGCCATCCCCTCTGGTGGGTCCACAGTCCCCTCTCTGGATTGTGGTGTGGTGTTCAGAGCCTCCTCCAGCGGCTCCTGGACCCTCAAGCAGCTGTGAAAACGTACCATCTTAAGTCTCCAGAATTCGGGTGGAGAAACAAGTTAGGGATGGGGTATAAATAAAAATCACCTCTCTGGGACTAGTAAGGTCCCCATTTGGGGAAACTGAGTCTCAGAGAGGTTAAGTGGCACGTCCAAAGTCACACTGACTATAAGAGACAGGGATTTCAGCCCAGTCTTCACAAAGCTAGCTGTGCTGTGCTTAGCTGCTCATCCATTGCCTATCTTTGCAACCCCAGGGACTGTAGCCTACCAGGCTTCTCTGTCCACGGGATCCTGCAGGCAAGAATACTGGAGTGGGTTGCCGTGCTCTCCTCCAGGGGAACTTCCCAACCCAGGGCTAAGCCCTGACCAAGCTGGATCCCCGTTTCCAGCACCATCTTACTCAGGTCGTCTTCAAGTGCTATTCAAAAAGTAGCACTGTGGTATCATTGTCTTTTACACATCTTCCCCAAAGCCACCTCCTCTTCTGGATGCCTCGACCCTGCCAAATCACAGCTGCCCTGCCCTACTGAGTGTGGACCTGAGGGAGGGGTGCCAAGTGGAAGAGGGTCACAGCAATCCTCCAGACCCCAGTTCTGAGGGTAGTAGAGGATTCCTCTTCCACAATGTTTCCCTTCCATGATGGTCACCAGCCCTGAGAGTAGCACAGGGTGTCCCATTTTACAGATGGGGAAGGGACCACCCAAAGCCTTGTGGTAAATCAGGGTGAAGCTGGACTTAACAAGCTGAGTTCCTTGAATTCACAATGGCAGTTGCCTTTCCTTCCTCCCATCTGACTTACTGTGGGTACAGGCCTGGGCAGATGGGGACAGCTCAGAGATGACAATTTGTGAGCAGTAGGGGAACAGGGTGGGGATGGGGCAGGGCCTAACACAGACTCAGAGGAGGAGATCGGCAAAGCTTTGCTAAGAGGGGACCTGAGCTGCTAGGAGAGCGTGGTACAGGTCACAGGACCTGGGAAGGGTGTCCACACCTTCTCCTTCCTCGCCACCAGGAACCTCAGATCTATGCTGACTGAGAGCCCTGCTGGTCATCACTAATATTTCCCCCACCTACCCCCAGCGCTAGTCCTCATCTCATCCAATGGAACCTCAGTTTCCCCATGAGTAGAGTGAGAAAGATAGTAGCTTCTTCTCAGGTTGGTGCCTAGACTAAGAATAACGGACCCAGCCTGGGGCCTGCACCCAGTGGTTGTTAGGCAACTTCTGGCAGTCTTTATTTTGCTGATTAATGATGCTTCTGCCACTCCCTGTGGGCTTCCTTTTCCAGATCCTTGTCCAAGGGGCCAAATGCCCAGGAAGTGCCTCACAGCAGCCCTGCAGCATGGGCAGAACATGGCAGAGCTGGAATCAGAGAGTTCTCAGGCTCTCCCACCCAACCTGTTCCCCCCACGTCCAGTGCCACCTCACTCTTCTCTGAGCTGCTGCCAAGCAGAAACCACTGGGCTGGCACAGAGCTTTGGCTGGGGCTGGGGTAGGGCGGGGCTGGGGCTATGGCGGGCTGGGGGAGAGCCACTCTCCTCCTCCCACACACCTCCAAAGACTAGTTGTGGTTAGTCAGTTCACAGGGGTCCACCTCACTCAGTGCCTAGATGGGCCTCCCCAGGAGTTGGAGACAGATGGGCAACCAAGCGAGCCTACCCACTGCAGGTGTCTCTGGGGACCAGGGCCTGAAAGTGGGAACCCCATGTGCTCAGCTCCCCTTCATCTCTTCACGTCTTCAGCAGTCACATTGCTGTGTGACTTTTGGCACATTGCTTGATCTTTCTGACCTCAGTTTGCTGATCTGCAACATGAGAATAATAGTAACATCTGATGTTCTGTCTTATTGTGAAGCCCAAATCGCAGAAACGTGTGTAAACATCTGATGGGGGCCTGGCCTGTGATCCTAGCCCAGGAAATATAACCTCCCTTCTGTGGCAGGTCCCAGAGTCAAAATGTCCAGGACCTACCCTTGTAGGGCCCCCAGACCAGATGGGAGGCAAATGAGAATGTAGGATGATGGAGTCCAGAAGATGCACAGGCCAAGTCCGGGAGTCGAAACTGCATCTGAAGGGGAAGGATATGGTGGGACTGAGCGGGGTCAGATTTTTGTGGCAGCCGTGTGGAGGGTGGCTTTCTTTTAAAGGCCACCAAAGCCAACATTCCATCCAATGTTGCTTAGTACCTACTTGCACCCCTCCAGCAATTCACCTAGACAGCCCTTCCAAGGGAGGCTCAACTTCAGTGTGTTGGTATTTTTGTGGAAATGCTTCTGTTCCCTCAAGCATCTGTCAGTGAAAATAGGAGACACATCTTTTCTTGTGTCTCTAGGACTACCATTCTGAGACGAGAAAACCCTCCCAGGCACCAAGGCAGGCTCAAAATTCCCTGGGAGCGTTTCTGAGACCAAACTGATACCTGAGGATCCCAAGTAGAAGTGAATGGCCCAGGCAGGCAATGATGTGCACAACCTGTGTGACCTTGGACAAGTTGCTAAACCTCTCTGAGCCTTTCTGGCCTCATCTAACCATAGAAATGGGATGGGAAGGACTGTGGCACCCTGGACCCCCAGCTTAGTTTCTGCTGCCCTTTTTACTGAACACCCACTGCAGGCCAGTCCTTCATCTCCTGTGGCAAATGGGGGTAAAGATAACCACAGACAGCCTCAGGTGTCTTTAGTCTCAACTACTGACTTGGAAACTGAGGCTTAGAGAGGTTAAATAACTGGCCCAAGTCACACAGCTTGGTAACGAGGAATTGAACCTGAATCTCCAGACTCCCAGACCAGATTTCAGTGCAAGAGTGTGGCTCTCCTCACTCTCGACCCTGCCCAGCACCTCTGTGGGCCCTGGGGAGTCAGGGAGTTCCCTCATCAGCCCCTTTTGGGGCCTTGCCTTCTGTGGGAAAACCCTGGGTTCCCCAGTTCTTTGCCCAGCACCCTCTTGCTCCCTAGGGCAGCTAGGCTTAGAGCATACCAGCTATGGGCCACCCCATAGGGACACCCCATAGGCCACCCCCCAGAGGGACAGTAGGATAGGAGAGAAAATACTGGTGGGTGTCAGCTGTAGGAAGTTTGTGAGCCAAAAGACAACATAGGGTGCTTCGGAAACAAATCCTGATAAAGAGACAGCTGGAGTGTCCCATCCTCCGAGAACTAGCCGACGTGTTTAACGGGAATAACGAGGGCTTGCAGGACCGGGCGTGGTGCCAGGTACTTTACTTGTGTCGTCTCCTCCTCACAGCCACCTGACGAAAGGAAGACAATGGTTGCTCCCTTTTTACAGAAGAGAGACCGAGGCTCAGAGAGATCCTGTGACTTGCCCATGGTCACACAACTAGTAGGGTGGGGCATGGCAGCCCTTCCCATCGAGTCCTCAGACTCCAGGGCCCCTCTTGCGTGGCCAGCTTGGCTGCTTGTCTGCTTGGAGCCATCCATGCAGGGGAAAGCAGGTGCTGGGAGCACCCTGTATACCCCACGGCCACCACATAGGAGGCTCCTGGCTCTGAGTCTGGTCAGTGAGAACCAGGGCTGAGGATCTGGAGGCTCCCAGAGACCCCGAGGAAGTGGGGGGGGGGAATGTTAGGTGAGAAAATTTGAGAGTGAGTGAAGCCGGCAGGGCAGGATCAGAAGCGTCTCCACAGCTTGACTGTGCTGCTCTGTGGACCATGAAACCAC